GGTGTTGGAGAAGAGTCTTAAACATACCATAGACTGCCAAGAAAACAAACAGGTCTGTCTTGGAGAGGGTAAAACCAAGTTTCTCCTTAGAGGCTAGGATTTTGAAGCTCTGTCTCACATACTTTAGGCACATGGCTAGGAGGGACCAGTCATTGGAGAAGGATATCATACTTGGAAGGGTGGAGGAGGGACAGTGCAGGAGAGCAAGGCCCCAGATGAGATGGACTGATACAGTAACTGGGACAATGGGAATAGTGTGTCGAGTCAGTGAGACTGTCTCCAGACAGTGCAGGGTTCTGAGCTGTTGTACCTAGGATCGCTATGAATCACAGGGGACTTGACAACACATGAGAACAATAGTTTTTATATGCTTATATGTTAGTATAATTCATATGGCTTGTACATTTTCTATATATTTATGTAAATTAGTTATATATATGAAGTGCAAGTGCCATGTGGTGGTTGCAGGTTTTGAAACATTGCTGATTCTTACACGTTACACTAGGAAATTTTGGTTTTTTCTAAAATCTTTAGCATTTGGCTAGTAGTTTCCATGTCAGGAATAATAGTCTCTAGAAAAATTTACATTACTTTTGTACAGTTACTTTACTCCACTTCTTCATACTTCTGTTGATGTCTTAATCTATGTCATTTTGTGATTCCTCTTTTCTCCTGTCTTCTTTCATTATTGTTGTTGTTTTTATGTGCCATTGAGTCGCTTGCGACTCATAGCTACCCTATGTACAACAGCTCTAAACTCTGTTCTGTCCTGTGCCAGTCACACTGTCTCCAATACACCCATCTCAATTACCCCAGTCACTGAATCAATCCACCTCATAGAAGGCCTTCCACTTCTGCACTGTCCCTCCACCCTCCCAAGCATAAAAGCTCCAAATTCACTGATGTCCAGTTGCTTCCATTTCTTATGACTGCACGTTTGTGAGATTTTACTTAGGAAGGGGAGGAGACTGCTCATCTTTATCCTATGGAGCCAAGGGTGGATTTGAACCACCCACACATTTTCTTATTTATTCAATCTTAATGCACAGTATACAACTTAAGTGTAATTTGTAGAATCGTTGATCTGTATCTGTATTTCAAGAGAGAGTTTTACCTACTTGAGTACATTATTTATTTCCTTTAGGTTTAATCTGTTTCAAGTGAAAGTAACTGTACCAACGTTGGCTTAGGTGGGCTCCTGTATTCCCCCTGTCTCTATAAGGGCACTCTAGTAGCATAAGGAGCCCTTACTAGCATAGTTCTTTTCAAGTGTGCTGCCAGCTCAGAGGCTACGTGTCTGCAACTGTTTGAATCGACCAGTGGCTATGAAGGAGAAAAATAAACAGTCTGCTTCTATTGTGATTTAAAGCCTTGGAAACCCACTAAAGGATCATTATGAGTTAGAGCCAATTCACCAACAGTGAGGCCTGCAGAAGTGAGGCTATGTCATATATTTGCAATACAGTTAGGTTCTTTTATTGCATTCCATATACCATACTAGAGTCTCTGGACAGCCTATTTGATATTTTTTTTAATTTCTATCTATACCTTAAGGTTCACTCTCTATACTGTAGATTTCTGTGGGTTTTGACAATTGCATAGAATCACACATCCAAATTAGTTTTACTACTCTAAAAATCTCCTGTTGTTTCTCTAATCCAATAATCCTGCCTCTTCAGACTCCTGACAACCACCGTTGGAGTGGTGCAGAAGACATTG